TGCTGCACCCACAGGAGCCGCGTCGGCTCCTGGTGCAGATGGCTGCAGCGCCGAGCGGAGGGACTCAAAATAGCAACAACCCCAAGCTTTCGGAATAATCCCGGTGCAGCAGCAGGCTGCTGCCTCTTCACAGCATGGTTTTTAAGCTGATCTTTTCAAAGGCAAGTAGGGCAGTTCTAGGACAGGCTGGGAAAGACACCAGGAACGTTGCTCCATAATAAAATAATAAAACCACCGTTGTGCGTGGCTCCAGCAACGTGACGTGTGTTCTCATTGTTTCGGGATGACAGAGTGCTTTTATTTCGGGACCACAGACTATTGCGTGCTTCATCAGAGGACAGAGGAGGAGAACAACCGAGTCGGGGTCACAGCGGGGAGGCTCGGTGCTGGCTGCACGGGGCCCCGGGCAGCTGTCCGAGGGCTGAACGCGGAGGGTGGTCTCCTCTGGGGCGAGTACGGAGCAACGTCCCACGTCCTCATCTCCTCTGAAGATCTCACAATGACCCACCTGGGAACTGCATTATTTTACTTGATGAACTGGAAGCTATTATGTTTGCACTGATCAGCAAGTACAAAACAAAGGGAGGACTTCGAAGCTTTCATGATGTTCTGGAAACTATTTGCCACGAGAGCATCCCCTAAAAGGGCTGCTGCGCCCTCCTTAGCGTGGAATTTCTGCCAGTTCTACTGCTGTAATTAATGCTGCCAATAGGTAAAGGGAGAGAAGGTCCCCTGGCAGCCCCATGGAGATGCCCCCAGGTGCTTTGGGGCACCAAGCAGAGCCCCCAGACCCCCAGAAGAGGTGATCTTTTACCACATTGGCAGGCTAAGGAGCATCCAGCTCACCGTCTCATCACCCAAGAGATTCGGCAAGTCTCCATATCCCCATATTGCAGGTATTTCTGTTGTCTTCTCCAGGTGGGATCACCCAACCCAACAGCTCCTCTCTGACCAGTGCTGGGCGACACACCACACGGGATGTTCAGCCAGGGCTGAGTCTGCCCTCTGAAACATTTGTTATTTTTAAGTCTAGACAGTAATTTATCCCAATTTTTAATGTTTGGCTTTGTTGTCTCCCCGTTCTCCCATCCTTCCTGCCCACCACGAGCTGAGGGTGCTCAATGGAGGACAGCATCTCACTTGTCCACCCCTTTTGCCCCAAAACTCAGGGCAGATCACACCTGGTCTCTCATTTGGAGCCAAAGATATTTATTATATATATCAATATATATATTAGAGTGGGGACAGATGGGTAGATGGGCAGCGCCACGCACCCAGGCAGCCTCTGAAGAAACGCAGGCAGGGGCTGGGCCATGGGAGGAAGGCAGCGAGGCGTGGGGCCGGCAGGATCCCGAGACTGCAGATGGAAGGGGCACTGCAGAGTGCTCCGATGGTGAAAGCAGGATGCTTGCATTCGATAAGAAAAGGGAAATGCCCGGCTTTGACTGTTCTGTGTAAGGATAAGGACCTCGTGGAGGCTGGAGCTGAAACGCATCTTCATCTCCAACACTCCTCTGCTCACCACCTGGGCACAGTTGCACAGCAAAGCATCCAGACCACAAATGGTGGCGACGGAGGAAAAAGGGATTAATGTGGAGATGTTCTAGAGGGACAAACAGCAGGATTAGTGACTCCTGGGGATAAAGAGAACTAGGAAGGAAGAGAAAGGAGCCTGCATGGCTGGATGGCGACAGCATCGGGGAACAGACAGGGTGACAGAGACAGGGGGATGCACAGGATCATCTCCTGAGGGTCCTCTCCTGCTAGACCTGATATTCTGTGCCCTAAAGAGATGTTTGCACGTACTTGAGCACCCAGGGAGCTTAGAAGCGTGTTTACCTGAGACAGGGCTAAAATTTAAGTCATTAGGTCTAAGCAGCCTGTGAAGGTGTGGACCCATATCTGGACGTGACCTTGACAGCTTGAAATTCATCTCGTTTGTTATGGGAAAGTTTCAAACGAACAGACGACCCCGTGCTGCTCTTACCACGTGGAGAAAGGGATCAGAGCAGCAAACGCTGGCCAAGCAGTGGGAGAAACTCAGGTGAAGCTGCTCTGCTTCAAAGCTGGTGAAGGCCAGCACTGCGCTGTGGTCCAGGGCATCTTCCAGAGATGGAAAGCTCTCCCTTTCCCACTAAACCATCCTAATTAAACAGCTGCCTGCTGCAAGTCGTGCAGACAGAACGCATTGCCAAGTAAGGGCTATTATTTAGGTGATATATATATTTCTAAACTGCGTTTCAAACTCTGCTCACAATCTACCACGGTTATTATTTGCCATTTAAACACTCAGCAGGACGGTTTGGGATTTGAGAAACACCAGGTCAGAAGAGCTGAGACCTTTTAGACGAATAACAGCGCACAGCCTGTAATTTTTCATGTTAGAAGAACCCAGCCATCTCTCTAAGCATATTCCACCTACAAAACATCGTAAGGGAAAAAAAATCCAGGTGCTTAAGATGACCCTTCCTCACCACACAGGCTTGCAAGAAAACATTACGCTAGAGGCGTAGATCTGCACTGCCTTCAGAGGTTTGGCTCTGCTGGGTCTTTAGAGCAATTAATTACCCAGGGAGCAGGATTTCATCTGCTTTTGGGCAGCTTTGCATCAGCACCTGCTGGCAGCACCGAAATTTGGGGTGTAAGAACCCCTGTTGTGCTCAATACCGGCTGGCAGCGGGGTGGAGGCTCAGCAGCTTCGGACATTGATGCTCCGGTCGTCTCCTCCTTGCTGATGCTTTCTGCAAGAGCACAGACCAAGGAGCTTATAAATCCGTAGGAGCCCTTGAGGAAAGCGGAGGTTGAAAGAGAAACACAGAAAGGAATTGACTTTTCTGAGCCATCTGAGAAGAGCTGGAAATCAAAGGCGGGACTGACCCAAGTCCCACCCGAGCCCTCCTATTGTACCTCTGGAGAGCACAGGAGAGCGCCGGGACAGCCGGTCCCAGCTGCCGTGGGATGGTGGGTCCCTCCCTAGCCCCCTGCCCCAAGAGGGCACAACACATCCTGGATGATTCCACCGGAAAAGTTTTATTTCAAGAGACTGCCACGCCAAATTACATTTGCTCAAGGAAAAATGCAGTTCTTTCAATAGCTGTATTTTTGCCCGAGTACAGAACTGGTTTCAGTACCTTAAATTATTCCACAGGCTTTGGGAATGCGACCCTTTGCGAAGCAGCCCACAGTCCGTGGCTCCCTAAATGCTTGTTAGAAATTGCCACTCTGGGGGGGAGTTTCAGCCTTCCTTGGGCAGACAGAGAGCAGCTGGCAACAGCAGGAGGAGAGGAAAACTGAGCCTGTCCCAAAGACCCCCCAAGGAGGGGACAATTTCCCCTATTCAAGGGCAGGTATTTGTTTTTCTGCATTTTTCTTCATCCCTCTTTTACCTCCTTCTCCACTCTGGCCAGAACGCCGCAAGAAGGCGTGCGTGGACCGATGGACGGGATCGCAGGGGATGCCCAGGCAGGGGGTCCCGGGGGGCTCTGGGCATCCCCTGCCCCGAGCAGGGCAGCGGTGGGGCACGCCAGGCTGCCCTGGGCTGCACCCAGCCACCCACAATTATTATTGCATTACAACACAGCACATAAGTACCAAAGAGCAAACAATTTTATACATTACTTGCATCTTGACCTAGAATAAAAGAATATGACCGTGTCTCAAAGACCCATTCCTCTTTCCC